CTGCTGACATAACCTGACGGCAGATTAGCAGCAAAAATCGATCAAAATCTGTCATTTTCATTTAAATCGACATAGTTGCTTATAAGAAATTTTGCGTACATATATGTATATAAACGGTTATAAATAATTATATATAATTATACGTAATTATTTATTTATATATACTGGTGTGAAAACTGGCAATAATCAATATACAGTTTTGTTGCTAAAATGTTATTGATTAGCTTCACATTTCAAAAATACACATGAAAAAGTTATAAAACAGTTAAAAAAATATTTTAGAATTCAGAAAACACACTCCGAAAGAGCTTTGGAATTTCTAGGAAAATTACCTATTCGATTTACATACGCCAAGTGTTATAGAAGCCCTGGGCGATTTCTTCTTACGAGAAGCAAGTCCATCTTGTGGCAATGCCGTATATGAGAATGACAGATCTTGCTCGGTTTTTGCTGCCAATTTGCCGCAGGTTCTGTTCGGTTTCTGCTCGCAATCTGCTATCAGTTAATGTAGCAGACTCTGTTCGGTTACTGTCACCAATTTGCTAGCATACCATGTTAGCAGGCTTGATCATATTTTTGACAGCAGTTTGCTGACAATGTCTGATAGTACTAAATCTGTGTACAATTTGTTACCTCTCTGCAATCAGAAATTGGTAACAGGATCTGCTCAAAATCTGTCTTCGCAGTCTTTGGTATCAGGGACGAGAATACTCTGCTTTAAAATATGTTCGATAATTGTGCACTGCAGGGGACGGCACGCCGACGACCGTGACTTCGACAAATGTCGTTAAGATCATGACTCTTTTAGACCTCCAACATGTTTTAAGCGACTTTCACCCTCTCTCAACCATCCCTACCTCCCTGCAAAGGAGCGCACGACTTACACCCTCGACTATCATGTTTCCTCCCCCTCTGCAGAATACAATCAATATACACTATCGCTTGTATTAATACATATATGGGGAAGTAGCAACTGTACGCTTACAATTTGAAGAACCGACTAAGACTGCGCAATCAAAATTTGTAAATACAAACGATACTCACCAAAACAAATAAATGTAATCATGCCGAATAGTACATTAGGAATTTCCGAGCAGAGTGGGAGGGGAAGGTAAGAGTCGCTTCGCATAGAAGTCGCGAGCCTCTTTGCAGCAATAGAGGGATGGAGAGACGTCGTGGGTGAGACAAGTTTTCTGAATACAATGCAATTTATACCAAGTCAGTACATCGAGTAGATTTTTTTTTTATTTGCTTTCAACCAGATTGAAAAAAATGATTTTGAAAAAAACGCGCTTGAAGTTTTACTTTCAGATTACTATATGTTAACTGCATGCTAAATTAAAAACTTACTTACTCCTATTCGGCAATCCCTGGACCATATAACAGCTCTTTCGCATCTAAAAACGCTTCTTTGTCGACGCCAGAAGCAGTTTTAGCGCTTATGCGACTTTTTTGTACGTTATCGAAGGTCTGTCGCTCAGCGATACACACGCGTTCTTCGTCTGTATAATCACAATAATAATACATTGCATGGTCAATTTGAATGTGTAGAAGCTTCAATACATCCAGAAGTGCGACATATTACCAGCATTAAACAATATTCTAGCGACATTGGCGGCAATTTGAACGGTGGGGGTACCGCTGAATAGTGACTTAGTGTGATTTCCAAATAATTTGAATGAAACATTCACTGTTATTTTCATTACAACTGAATATATTTTCCCCCTTTCTACACTCTGGCAAATGGCCCTTCGTGCAATTCGCAGAAGAACGAGTTAGCGCGCCGTTTATACCTGCACTCTGGTGCTCCACCGCGCTTCGTCGTTCACAAACTGCTCCACGAAAACTGCTGTATCTCCGACAGGTATTTTCCGAATAACTCTTTAAAATTTGGCATATACATTCTCGATATGTATATCTTTCAAAATATTACAAAATTAAAAAATCGATTTTTTTCAAAATTTTGCCCTGTGCATAGCCCTTAATGTGAAAAAATGAACGAATTTCGACTTCAAAGTCAATTGGAGCAAGATTCCAAACATTCAGATGGTACATTACTTCCCTCTAATTGTAGGTCTGTTCACCCAGAACAAGATCCAGTTGGAATTTTCCCGGGACCTTCTACAGGACTTTTAAGAGTTGCATTTATAACGTTTTTAACGATAGAAACCATTTTTTTACACGTTCTAAAGTATATCGCTTTGTGGTTTTGATATCCTCGAATCAAATGCCTCAATTTGACGATGAAAAACTCTTTATTAGGTAATGAAATGAGTGCATAATACAAAAAAATATGATTTAATTAAAAGAAACTACATATTATGTAGTATATTTTTTTTATTATGTATTCATTTCATTTCCTAAGAAAGAGTTTTTATTGTCAAATTGAGGAATTTGATTTGAGGATGTCAAAACCACAAAGCGATATACTTTAGAACTTGTAAAAAGATTGTTTCTATCGTTAAAAACGTTTTATAATACAGTTAAATGCAATTTTTAAAGGCCTTGTAGAAGAGATCCCGGAAAAATTCTAACTGGATCTTGTTCTGGGTGAACAGACAATTTGAGGAAAGTAACGATCCATTTGAACGCTTCGAACCTTGAATTCGAAATTTCTCAAGGCGTATATCGTATAGGTTTA